ATCCCACTGATCTGCAATATCACACTATCACCAGTTCAGTCCTCAAACCATATCATATCTCATAAAGTCATGTCTAATTTCCACATGGAACGAATTCTTCCGAATATGAAACACCCGAATATACCAGCTTGTCTTCTTTCACATCAAAACTTTCTTCACTCATTTCCTTCACAGTTCCAAAGCTGTCATTTGTCTCTTGTAATTCCAAGCAAACGTTTCATCTGCATCAAGCAAAAATGAATGAAAGAACATAAAACTGAAACCATCACAAAATTTCTTTACCAATTCGGCTGTACCTTCTATCGAAGGGATGTGCGCCGAATGAGAGTGTACGAAGTCTCGTCGACGCCAATGAATGCAAACAAACGGACCACCGATAGCCTCACCGTGTTTCTGCAAAATTATTCAGAAATTTTTCCGCATCTGTTAACTTTTGACAGTGAACGCAATCATATCATCAAACACACTCGCTCACATTCATTCAAAAATCCCACTCGATGCAACTAACGTCCACAAAAATTTAGTCAAACTATCTGCACCAAGCATCCCTCGTAAACTATACAAAAAGCATACCACAAAACATATCTTAAACAAGTTGTCTATCTTCACGATGAAGATTGATCTATGCTTATCAGTAATGAAACAGTTGAAAAACTGACTAATCAGTCAAAGTGATCGTCTTACCTTCTTGGTTTCATCCCAACTTTTGTCTAGAACAGTTTTATCAGACACATCGTTCGAGTTCAATTTTTCAGACCTGAAGCAAATTCACTATACCATAAAACAAATCAAGATCGAAAAATCAATCACTGCTTATGCCAACAATTTACAAGATAAGAATTGCCTGCTTTCTGGAACAGATAGGAAAAAATCATCATAACATTAAAACTAAAATTTGATGAGGCTGGAAAAACTGCGCCCATAGTAAATGAATTCTTTCTTATTGCCCACTCAACACCACAATAAAACAAGAAATAAAACTTACTAGTATACTCACGAGTAGAAATACTTCATGATCATTCAAAGAGTAGCAAATGAGTCAAGCAGCTAGCAAATAACCTGAATTTATCACCAATTTCAACGAGATGTTTCGCGTATCGCATTGATCTTCTAGCCTCCCAATAGTATGAATCGCCAAACGATGAATGCAGAATTGCCTCAGCCCGATCGATAAACAACGACATCGCTTCAGAATGATCGCGTTCGACCAGATCTGCTAACGTATTCGAATCGCCTTGAATAGAAACACACAAAAACTGACGGGCACGAACGTTCGGATACGTGAAGAACCAACCGGACCTTCAAAACTCCATTCATTATCATCGCCAAATTGCATTC